AACTTGATGAGAGTCACGTTTTAGGAAGGTCCCTCTGCCCGAGGTGAGCACAGTTCGGGTACGTGGTAACAACCCGTATCTGGACAGGATCCCTTTGCCGTGCCCTCTAAGTAGGATTTGTGGCAAACCTGGTTCCTCATGGATCAAAGAAACACCAAGGAGCTCAATATCTGTGACTCTGGAACCCCTCGAAATGGGGGCTGGTCTCAGTTTAAACTCCAACTGCAAGAGCGATGGGGTTGTTGTCAATGAACCACATTCTTGGATTCACAGCGAGCCAAACGCTGAAACGCTTAGATTTGCACCAGAGAAAGGGCTTGTCCCTGAGACCGCCAAAAGAGGAGAGGGCAGAACAGACCTCAAATGTGCCTCGCAGATGAGGAGCTCGGGATGAAGCTGAGACGTGGAGAGCGTGGAAAGCCAATTTGAGAGAAGGAAAACGTGCGGTAATTGTCATTCTGCGCAGGCGCAGCTAAGCTGCACGCTTAACAGGGTACCCGTGCTCTGTGGGCGGAGTTTTTGGCCCTCTGAAAGTCACCCATCTGACACTCGCGCATGCCCAACTGGAGGAGCGTTGATCCCAGCAAGCCCTAAGCAGCTGGAGCTCTAACCGGACACAGCTGATTCGAAGTTCCTGAAAACGAGTTTGCACAAATGTCCTATTGTTTAGGCTACCTGACGCTTGGAGGACGTGCAAGTTTTTGTAAAAACAATTAAATTTACCTTGATTAGTGTAGGCACGTTAAATTTGTTATGAACTAAGTTGTTTAACGGATCAGGCTTCCCAGGTGGCGCTAGTGGTAAAGAACCCACCTACCAAAGCAGGAGACATAAGAAACACGGTTGGATCCCTGGGTGGGGAAGATCCCTTGGAGGAGGGCTTGGCAACCCACTCCAGTATTCTTGCCTGGAGAATCCCATGGACAAAGGAGCCTGGTGGGCTATAGTCCTTGGGGTCGCAAAGAGTCAGACACCACTGAAGCAACTCAGCAGGCAGGCACAGTATAAGGGATCTGTCTGGTGACTACCCTTGGTTTCAGGGATTTCAGGAGGAAATGGATGAATATTTCGCAGACAAAGCTAGCAGATGTCAGTGACCAACTACATCAAAGACAGAAGTCTAGGCTGACTTGCTTTCCCAAGGTCACTGCCACAGACCAGGCTTTTACTATTTTTTGGCCTAGATTTTGAATGCATTCACTTAACTGCAGTCTCCCACTCCCCAGCTTCTGTCCAAATATACTAGGTGGATTGGAGCAAATCGAAGCATGTCTCTTGCCAGGTTACTGACCTTAATGGCTCCCATTTCTCAATGGGTGAAGTTCAGACTTTTCAAACTATCGGCTAAGACCTTCATGATGAGAGCCCTTGCTTGTCAGGAGACTTGTCTCCCACCACCACCTTGCTCCTCTTCGACCCCCTACCTTGGGAACACTAACCGTACTTTGGGATTAAGGAATGAGTTGTGATCTCAGAAATACGCCATCCTTTCTCATTCATCTATTGTTCAACAGAGCCCACTCCACTTCTACTGGCTCTTCCAGGCTCAGGGAAGGCATCACCTCCTTTGAGGACTTGCCACCCACTCCAAAGCGCTGTGAGCCCCTCCTGGCAGCTTCCGTGTAGTGAGGCTGGTCTGGATTACCCAGCTTACCTGTTATAGTGTAAATTCTCTTGTTTTCTAATTAACTCCTTGCAACTACACCACAAGCTCGTGGAGGTCAAGGACTATATCTTCTCCACCTCTGGATACTCAGCATCTAGCTTGGCTTACAAAAATTATTTGTTGAATGAAAAAATAAAAGGGGTAGAGCCAAGACTCCACCCCCACCTTAAATCTAGTGCTTTTCTCGACATATCACAGGAAATAAGAGTGATACATCATGGTAGAGTACTAAATAATTCAGATGGCAGATTTCCTTTCCATAATCTAGCAGAGTAAAATGGTGACATACTGATAGAATGGGTAAATTAATCTGGATATTAAGAGACCATTTTATTCATACTTACACCTACACTGACTCCTCAAAATGCTTAATTACATGTAGTGCAAAATATTTCAAAGTTTTAGTCCTAAAGTTAGCAAGAAGATACAGTATCCATTTATTGAATTACAAACACACTTGAAAATACTCTGATGATACCTATTTTATGTAAACACATTCATATCATATCTATCAATAAATGCCCTTAATCTTTTTATTGAGGAGTTAACTCAATTTTAATTTTGTATTTTCTTATTCTCTTTCTCTCACTTGCTATCTATGTGGGTAAACAGAAAACAAAAGAGGTAAATGCAGATCTGTCTGTATGGTTATCTTTTGTCTTTTTATACCTATCAGCAAAAGGTTCCTTTGGGAAAGCAGCTGAAAATTAATAATGGACAATGTACTTTCATTGGAGCCATGAAATTAAAAGACGCTTGCTCCTTGGAAGAAAAGCTATGACCAACCTAGACATCATACTAAAAAGCAGAGACATTACTTTGCCAACAAAGGTCCGTCTAGTCAAAGCTATAGTTTTTCCAGTAGTCACGTATGGATGTGACAGTTGGACTATAAAGAAAGATGAGCACCAAAGAATTGATGCTTTTGAACTGTGGTGTTGGAGAAGACTCTTGAGTCCCTTGGACTGCAAGGAGATCCAACAAGTCAATTCTAAAAAAAATCAGTCCTGAATATTCATTGAAAAGACTGATGCTGAAGCTGAAACTCCAATACTTTGGCTCCTGATGCAAAGAACTGACTCATTTGAAAAGACCCTGAAGCTGGGAAAGATTGAAGGCGGGAAGAGAAGGGGACAACAGAGGATGAGATGGCTGGATGGCATCACCTACTTGATGGACATGAATTTGAGCAAGCTCCGAGAGTAGGTGATGGATAGGTGTGCTGCAGTCCACGGGATCCCAAAGAGTTGGACACAACTAAGCAACTGAACTGAACTGAATGTACTTTCATAAATGTTTCTAAAAATTATCTTTGTTGCCTCCGATTCAAAAAATTATCAGTGAACAAATTTTAAGTAGCAACAATCCAACACATGCAGATTTTGTAAAGGACTCTAACCAAGGTTTTCTCTCTTATTACAAAGGTAAAACCAATGAGCCAAGGAAACAGGCAGCAATGTATTTATTGGAAATGAACTAGACATTACATTAACCAAATGAAGATGTAACAATGCATGAAGCATAGTCAGTGCAACATTTAAAAGATCACAAAATAAAAAGAAAATTCATTTTCAAAAGAAATATTGTATCCAAGGTGAGCCCTGAACACCATAATACAACTGATAACATTGACTGTGAAGATCCGAAATAAAATTTAAACTGAAAGAAAAAGTTTCTTTTCCCACTTGAAGGTTCCCCGGCTACCACCTGTGTTATCATACACACCAGGTAATTTTCATCACCAGACAGTAACCAGATGATATTTATCATATTCCTCATAAGAAAAATACCTCTCCTACAAATAGAGAAATTTGAGGGAAATCCAAGCAACAAAACAGTTGGTGGCCCCAACTGATTAGGTCAGCATTTTCTAGAATCTAGAAATTACATTAACTTTACTAGTAAGACTTCACTGTCTTCTGAGAAACTGCCTGGATGAGAGGGCGTGATGATTGTAACATTACATTAACTACAGTACACTGCGTCACTACATTCCACAAGTAACTGGGCGGTTGGGGGTGGGAGGGGGTGTTCAGATGCTTATACACTCATCAAATGTTTCTGAAACCTTTAGAGCTTTACTTTTCTACTCTGTAATACATTGTAGCTTGTGTATAACAAACTCCCTTTGAAGAAAATTATCCCAGATAATCCATCTGGGACAATACAAGTACTGCAAAAAGTAGTGATGAAAAATATTGTTTGGAAAGGCAAAATTGCTGCATCTACTTTCTGAGGCACTGTCATAGAATCATCTCTGAAATGGAGAAATTCCATGTGTAAGTTAAAAACTGCTCTCCTTCCATTCACCCAGCATGCATGAATGTCTTCTAATAATCTCTCTGTAGACTGAGAAAGTCAGAAGTCCAAATGCAGAATTGCAGGTTGTAGAAAGGCTTTCTCCTTCCCTTCCCATGGATTTCAAGTTTGTTTTAAACATTCCACAGTTCTCATAAACTCTCATGTGGAAGGGGAGAATGATTACCACCTTATCGACAAAAAAAAAAGTATCTCAACACAGTATCTCATCTTTAGAAAACCAATCATAATTGCATTTCCTTACCCTCCATTTAAGCTAGAGAGAGCTAAGACAAGAGCTCCCACATTTTAGTGGGAAGTGGCAAATCCTTGTCACTAACTATGGCACCAAGTAGTTCATTCAGGAGAAATTTCAACAAAAAGGTAGAAAATTAATCTAGACAATTTATGTATGCTCAGTCACTCAGCTGTGTCCAACTCTTTATGACCCCATGGACTGTAGTCTGCCAGGCTCCTCAGTACATGGGATTTTCCAGGCAAGAATACTGGAGTGGGTTGCCATTTCCTCCTCCAGAGCTAGACAATTTAGGTCCTAACTTAATTTTTAAGGACTGATACATTTAGTTTAACAAAACGCTGGTCTAATTTACTAGAAAATTAGTAATATTCTCTTTCACCTTGAGCTGGATGGGCAGACTCAGCCACCGTCTTGGTTCCTTCTTACACACAACTGAAGTAATGCCTGACCAGACTCAAAATGCATGTGGATGCGACATGCTCATTGGTACAAAGCAGGCAGCAGGGGAAGACCCCTACTTTCCTGAAAAACTCAGAGGAGCTTTACTGGCAATCAGTCATTTTCCTCATATATATATAATGTCAGGAGATTTTAAGACAGATGCACATAAAGTTACACAAATGTTTCCACCTCTCCACCACTGAGTGAAACATGCCATTCTTTGGAGAAAAAAATACATTCATTTTTTTCAAGTATATTTCAATATACAAAGATGTTCTAGCTTTGTTTCACTACAAAGACAAGCTGATTTCACATGAGTCCAAGGGGAACTTCACTTTAACTTCCCTTTGGTGTGGATTTCATGAAGTTTTGATTTCTTTTTTTTAAAAATTGCTCTAAATATGCATCTACTTTTATCTGAAAGCATGAACTCTTTATGTCCATTTTATATATATGTACATAGTCAACAAGGACAGCAAAAAACAGTCCACATATGTACAATGGTTTAGAACTGGCATGCTCTGAGGAGAGCAAGGGCCACTGGATCTGACATGGGCTCACAACCAATTCAGTGATTGTCAGCTCTGGTGTCCAGCACTGGGCCAGCAGCATGCAGCGTCCTCCAGACTGCAGCATCCTTGAATGGTCACGTCCTGCTGGGGTGGCAAGTGTTCCGTTATGGCTTGTTTCCTGTCTTGGCTTTGTTGTTAGGGTTGCAGTTTAAGTCTCTCAGCAGTGGTTCGCAGTTAGCTAGAATATCTGCAGGCAGCAGCTTCCGGATCTGTTCCACTGCCTTCTGATAAGCTGTCTTCTCCTGTTCCAGGGTCCGGATCAAAGACTTCATTTTGGTTTCTCTAGTTAACAGATTTTCCAGGTTGGACTCCAAGGTCTGAATTTTAGCATGAGCTATCTGTTTGGGCCAAAACAAAACCACAAAATCCACCAAATCAAAAATCTGAAGGTTTTGGTTCATCATCACAGCAGCAGTCAGAACTTACATATATTAGCTAATCATATCATATTACTTAGTATAATAGTATAGAAGCAAATGCTCTGAAACCATCCCTGACATGGCGATTTTTTATGGTTCTCAAAAATATAACTAGAGTTCTAACAAAATACATCTCATTTCACTGAATACACCAAAAATGCAATATTAAACCATCATCCCTCAGTAGTGAGGGTACTCACTCCACACACAGGTCTTCTCCTCGAGGGACTGGGATCTGACAGGGAAAAACAGGAAATTCCTGACACTGCCCTAAGGTATTAAAAGAGGTTTTCTTTTTTTTTTTTTTTTTGCCCTCTGAGTGGAAATACAGGGTTTGCTCAACACATTAATGGGATCTTATCCATTTTTACATGTATTGAATGTGCCCACATAACTTGGGAACCCAGAGGTGATGACATTGGACTGTGAATGAAAAAATCTGTAACCATTAATAAAAATCATTATAACATAAAGCAGGTGCAAACCCACTTTCCCTAAATAAAGAAATGTTCAACTAATCATCACTGAAACATCCTAGTAATAAAGGACAATAGCCTGTTTATTTTTCTTTCTGAAAATAGACACTGTTGTCTCTTTTTAAAAAATGTTTATGGGAGTATAGTTGGATTACAATGTTATGTTAGTTTCTGCTGTAAAGTGAATCAGTGATACATATACATACACCCCCTATTTTTTAGATTTCCTTCCCTTTTGGGTCCACAGAGCACTGAGTGGAGCCCCCTGTGCCATACAGTAGGTTCTCATTAGTTACCTGTTTTGTACGCAGTACCCGAAGTGTATACATGTCAATCCCAATCTCCCAGTTCATCCCTCTCCACCTCCTCCACCTTGGAATCCATCACACACACACACACACACACACACAATATCTACAAACGATAAATGCTGGAGGGCTTCCCTGGCAGCTCAGCTGATTAAAGAATCCGCCTGCAATGCAGGAGACTCCGGCTCAATTCCCAGGTGTGGAAGATCCCCTGGAGAAGGAACAGGCTACCCATTGCAGTATTCTTGCCTAGAGAATTCCATGGACAGAGGAGCCTGGCAGCTACAGTCCATGGGGTCACAGAGTCAGACACAACTGAGCAACTTTCACTTTCATATAATTAACACCACAAACAAAGATATAATTTGGTAAGTAAATGCTGGAGAGGATGTGGAGAAAATAGAACCCTCCCACACTGTTGGTGGGAATGTAAATTCGTACAGGCACTATGAAGAAAAGTACAGAGGTTCCTTAAAACACTAAAAAATAGAGCCTCCATATGATCCATCAATCCTACTCCTGGGCATATATCCAGGGCATAATTCAAAAAGATACATACACCACAATGTTCATTGCAGCACTATTCACAACAGCCTGAACATGGAAGCAACCCAGATGTCCATCAGCGGAGCAATGGATAAAGATGTCACCTGTATACAATGCCATAAAAAGGAACTAAATAGTACCATTTGCAGAGATGTGGATGGACCTCGAGACTGTCATACAGAGTGAAGTCAGTTCAAAAGTCAGTAAAGCTTCAAGGGAGCAGAGGGTAGAGGGTAGGGAGTGTGGGGAGAGAGATTCTGAGTTAGAACTTAAGTACCCAGTGGCTTGGTACAAGCCATTTGGAAAAACAAGTATCACATAATATCGCTTATACATGGAATGTAGAAAAATGGTATGGATGAATTTATTTGCAAATCTGGTTTAAAAAATGATCTTTATGCTCAACATCACTCATTATGAGAGAAATGCAAATCAAAACCACAATGAGGTACCATTACATGCCAGTCAGGATGGCTGCTATCCAAAAGTCTACAAGCAATAAATGCTGGAGAGGGTGTGGAGAAAAGGGAACCCTCTTACACTGTTGGTGGGAGTGCAAACTGGTACAGCCACTATGGAGAACAGTGTGGAGATTGCTTAAAAAACTGGAAATAGAACTGCCATATGACCCAGCAATCCCACTCCTGGGCATACACACCGAGGAAACTAGATCTGAAAGAGACACGTGCACCCCAATGTTCATCACAGCACTGTTTATAATAGCCAGGACATGGAAGCAACCTAGATGCCCATCAGCAGACGAATGGATAAGGAAGCTGTGGTACATATACACCATGGAATATTACTCAGCCATTAAAAAGAATTCATTTGAATCAGTTCTAATGAGATGGATGAAACTGGAGCCCATTATACAGAGCGAAGTAAGCCAGAAAGATAAACACCAATACAGTATACTAACGCATATATATGGAATTGAAAAAGATGGTAATGATAACCCTATATGCAAAACAGAAAAAGAGACACAGATATACAGAACAGACTTTTAGACTCTGTGGGAGAAGGCGAGGGTGGGATGTTTCAAGAGAACAGCATCGAAACATGTATATTATCAAGGGTGAAACAGATCACCAGCCCAGGTTCGATGCATGAGACAGGGCGCTCAGGGCTGGGGCACTGGGATAACCCAGAGGGATGGGGTGGGGAGGGAGGTGGGAGGGGGATCGGGATGGGGAACACATGTAAATCCATGACTGATTCATGTCAATGTATGGCAAAAACCACTACAATATTGTAAAGTAATTAGCCTCCAACTAATAAAAATAAATGAAAAATAAATAAATAAATAATAAAAAATTATCTTTAGCAATGTGCTAACAACATTGTTGGCTTTGTTTTGAATAGGAAAAGACATAAAATATTCTATGGGCCAGAGCTAATGTAGATGAAAGGAAGGAGGCCAGTGTTTCTTCTTGGGGAGCAATTATTCTAGGAACCCCTCATTTCTAAGCTTTTTCTCTCCCAGCTATCCTTCAGAGGAGTCACCACACATCAAAGCAGGGTTTTAGTGTTCCCTAGTCTGGAGACGTGCAGTGTTAACGAAGTGACAGGTAAGCAGAGACCAAGGAGCCACTGGGTCCTTAAGTTCTCACTCAGAATCTCTCTCCCCACACTCCCCACCGGAAGCTTTCCTTTCTCACCTCCCCCTCCTCTGATCACACTGAGACGCCACTCCTTGGGGCTTAGATACACAGCACACTTCATATAGGTTACAGATGTGCAATATTACTTTACACTAAATCACTTATCACATTTGTAAGCGTGCACTGATAAATAAATACATAGTTTGTATTCTGAAGTAGTTGTGAGAGAGCTCATCCTTAGGTAGGTTGATAAGGAGTCCGGGGCCCTTGAGGAGGAAGGGGTCCAAGGCCTTGGAGAAGGAGAGAAAGGGGTCCAAGGCTCTCAAGGAGCAGGAAAGGACAAACATTTTTTTCTACATTGCTTTGTCTTAGACAATATAACAATGTATCTTGCTCAAGGACATGTTTCTCCTTAACAAGAACCTTCTGACTAATCTTGTTATTTTAAGATGTATATTATGGGAGTGGGTCTGATAAGACCTTTCTTCCTATTGTTAGCTCTAATCCTGTTATCTTAAAATGTAAATTGTGGGAGTGGGTCTGGTAAGACCTTTATAACCTTGGGACATTCTTTTGATTTACTGTAATAACCAATTGAAAAAGTATATAACTCCCTTGCTGAGACTAGTGAGGGGGGCACTCTCCGCCCCCCTTCTGATGTCTATGTCAGAAGCTTTCTCTGTCCGTTTTTCACTTTAATAAAACTCTGCTACACAAAAGCTCTTGATGAAGCCTGGTCCCTGGCTGAATCTTCTCTGGAGATCACAACCTTAAGCTATCAGCTGTAAATTCCTTCACGGCAAGGGTTACATGTTACCTGTTTTCATTCAATTTTCTCCATTCCATTTCTGTTTTACTCTAGACAGTTCTCAGCTTCCCCAATCAGATTTCTATGAAATAATTGCTAGCTGGTCTCCCTACCTTCTCTCCCCATTCTAATCTGTCCTCATCAAGGTTTTTTCCAGATTTATCTTTCTAAAGTATGGTTGAAAAATTCTGAGAGATTTCTTTCTCAACACGATTAAAAGCTGTGTTCTTCTTCTTGACCCTGAAAGTTATTTACAAATCTGCCTCCATCATGTTTATCCCACTTCTCCCCAAGGTAAATCTTAAATGGATTTAAGTTTCCTCTAAGTTCTGCCTTACCATCCGGCTTTCAACACTCCCCACTCCTCACTCATTCCTCCCACAAAGCCTCTAGAGTCCAGCTGAAGCCCCAAGACCCCCAGAGCTTTTCCAGTTTCCTCAAGTCAATCCCTCCCAACTTGAACTTAAACCAAACATGTGCAATACCCAGTAAGTTTTGAATCAGATTCTGCTCAGAACTGCCATTTAATTATTTTGTGAGAGGAGATTTTCTCTCCTGACTGATACTTAAAGCAACATGTGCATTTGTAGCCCCCAGGGCACTTGGACACAATGTGATACACAGGTCAACAGTCAGCAATGGCTCAAGGACACCACAGCTCTATCCTTCCTGATATGGTTCTATGCAGGAGAGGAGGCACTCAAGAGCTTTTTTGGTCAAATCGTTATCTCTTTACCTGTAATTTTTCCAGAAGGTCCATGTTTTGTCTTTTCAGTTGGCTGTTGGCCCTCTCTAGCTTCTCCATGGGTTCGCTCTCCTCACAGGCATAGGAAGATTCTTGGAGTTCATCCTGCAGCACGTGATACTCCACCTCATAGGCATGTAACTGTTTAGAAATATCCATCTCAAAAACCTGCAGTGAACACAGGGGTCAGTCTGACCTTCAGGATGTTCACAAAGATACATCTGTGTATCTAAGGTACATTTCCCAATACTTCTTAATAAGGAACAGCATGACATACCAAACAAAGGGAATTGTAACAAGTGTGACTGTCAAATAAGGACAAACAGATGATTTCTATACAATTGAAACATTCTCATGAGGAGGCCAAGACACTAGAGAAAGTTAATGCCCAAAGATATTTTGCAACCAAAACATACATAATCTAGGAATGGTCTCCCAAAGTGTAGCCTACCAGATAAACATGAGTTACTGAGTAACTCTTATACAAGTTGGAGATCATCTTTGCTGGTTAATAAGAAAAACTGCATAGGGTATTTCTATAATAATAAGATCAAAAGCCCTTCTAATTATTTGTCAAGGAGGTAGAAAGGGCTTGTACTAAATATTTTCATCCATTTTCTAATCCATGCAAGTCTCCTAGAATTCACTAACATATCATAAGAGAGAGAGAATCTTTAAAATTGCACACCGTGGTAACTATACATACGTATTCAATCACTCAGTCGTGTCCAACTCTGTGACACCATAGACTGCTCCTCTGTCCATGGGATTTTCCAGGCAACAATACTGGAGTGGGTTGCCATTTCCTTCTCCAGGGGATCTTCCCGACCCAGGGCTCAAACCCACATCTCTTGCACTGGCAGGTGCATTCTGTAGCACTGAGCCACTTGGGAAGTGGGCACTGTACAGAGCTGTTTAATTGCAGCTGCCTCTGCTGTCCCATATTGTCACCCATTAGGAAGACAGTTTGCTTCGAAGCTAGAGAACAAGTAACTCCTCCTTAGTCTAAACTTGCAAGAGAAAGTCAGCTGCCATTTAAGCATTGGTATCCACACTAACACTGTTGGGAGAGAAGAAGCCACAAAAAATCTCACTGACTTACTTGCACTACTACTATTAGAGATACTCAAATCTTAGAATTGAAGTGATATTTCCATACAATATGGTTATTCTTTTTAAATAAGCATCTTTTCTTCCCCTACCCAGTGAGTATGAACACAGTGGACTACTATACAACCATTAAAAATGAGAGCATGGATATATTTATTGGCATGCAAAAATGTCCAATACTCTACAAATATTATAATAAAAAGTCATTATACAACAGCAGTATGGTATAATTAGAGATTCTAAGAGTATGTTTAAGATATTTTAAATCTCAAGTTATTGAGATTTGTAACTTTACTTTCTTCTTTGTGCTGTTCTGCATTATTTGCATTTTTACAGGAAATAAAACTCATCAAAGTCTCCTTTAATACTAACAGTTCATTTTTGTTCAATTGCTAAGTTGTGTCCTACTCTTTGAAACCTACTATTTGAAATATGCTAGGTGCACCTGTCCTTTACTATCTCCCAGAGTTTGCTCAGATTCATGTCCATTGAGTCGGTGATGCTATTTAACCATCTCATCCTCTGCTGTCCCCTTCACCTCTTGCCTTCAATCTTTCACAGCATCAGGGTCTTTTCCAATGAGTCAGCTCTTCACATCACCTGGCCAAAGTATTATTCCATAGTTAATCAATTCTATTGGCTAGAAAGTTATCTCTAATATCAAGTCCAAATCTACCAGCCTGTAACTTCTATCAAATAACCACAGTAATAATCTCTAAAGCTAGGCAATTCCCTCATTAATCTTAGAAAAGACAGGTGATCTAATTTCAAATCAGACCTCATCTCTCTCTAAAACCACAATCTCTGACTACTTGCCAGCCCCAAAAGATATTTCTGAAGAATTAGGGAGTAAGTGAATATGTAAATAAAATTTGTATTTTTCTATTTCCAGAGCATCTTAACAAATAAAAAATATTCATAGGTATTTACAGAATAATCTACTTGTGATTTCAATTCCACATATGTGGTAGAAAGAAAGTTTCACATGTAATAAAATGAGTTCTTGTTATAGACTGAATGATACAAAATTCTTCAGCTGAGTTGGTTACATTTACCCCTAAAAACAATGTTATTTCCATTCTGAAGAGAAGGAAGTTGAGACTCAGAGAGGTTGCCCTCACTTGCCCAAAGTCACACAGCTAGCAGATAGCTGAACAGTAGCACAAGATCTCAGGCTCCCTTTCTCTTAGTTTAAACTCTGTCTTTTATCTGCTATCCCAAGGGCCTCTTGGAAAGTGGTAAATTTTACCAGTACTCATAAGTCATGATTGCTTTATTTACAAATCTGGTCTTGAGTATATTCATGTTATCTGAACAACAATATATAACTGCCACTGGTCCCTATGAAGAATCAGGGACTAGGTATATATATGCTGATTACCCTCCATTTGCTTCCATTCTCTGCCCTCATCCATTCTTGGTACCCTAGGAGGCAGACCGCTCTGACCTGCATTCCCCACACTTTCCTTCCTGCTGACTTCTGGTTCAGTTCAGTTCAGTTCAGTTGTTCAGTCATGTCCGACTCTTTGTGACCCCATGGACTGCATGCAGCACATCAGGCCTCCCTATTCATCACCAACTCCTGGAGTTTACTCAAACTCATGTCCATTGAATCGGTGATGCCATCCAACCATCTCATCCTCTACCGTCCCCTCCTGCCCTCAATCCTTCTCAGCATCAGGGTCTTTTCCAGTGAGTCAGTTCTTCGCATCAGATGGCCAAAGTTTTGAGTTTCAGCTTCAGCATCAGTCCTTCCAATGAATATTCAGGACTGATTTCCTTTAGGATGGACTGGTTGGATCTCCTTGTAGTCCAAGGGACTCTAAAGAGTCTTCTCCAACACCACAGTTCAAAAATATCAATTCTTCGGCACTCAGCTTTCTCTATAGTCCAATTCTCACATCCATACATGACTACTGGAAAAACCATGGCTTTGACTAGACGGACCTTTGTTGGAAAAGTAATGTCTCTGCTTTTTAATATGCTGTCTAGGTTGGTCATAGCTTTTCTTCCAAGGAGCAAGCATCTTTTAATTTCATGGCTGCAATCACCATCTGCAGTGATTTTGGAGCCCCCAAAATAAAGTCTGTCACTGTTTCCACTGATTCCCCATCTATTTGCCATGAAGTGATGGGACCAGATGCCATGATCTTAGTTTTCTGAATGTTGAGTTTTAAGCTAGCTTTTTCACTCTCCTCTTTCACTTTCATCAAGAGGCTCTTGAGTTCTTCTTCGCTTTCTGCCATAAGGGTGGTGTCATCTGCATATCTGAGGTTAATGATAATTCCCCTGACAATCTTATTCCAGCTTGTGCTTCTTCCAGCCCAGCATTTCGCATGACTTCTGGTTGGGTACAGCCAATGGCAAAGGTCATCAGGAGATCAAATGGGGCAGAAGAAAGAGGTGGGTAACTTCTTCCCCACTCCTTCCCTGTCTTGCTCACCAAGAGCACAGCAACCTCCAGAGAGCCTGCCTCCAGGCTTCCGGCACTCGTGGGGCCTGGCAGCACTATCATATCCTCCTTCTCCTGATGCAGTGCCAGGGATATGAACAGTTCCCTCTGTCACTGGTTCCTGAGCACCTGGACATCATTGTCTTGCTCCCTTAACCTTGCCTGCACTCCTGTAAATGGTACCCTCCCTTGAGTTACTGGAGGTAGACTCTGTTTCCTGCAAGGGACCCTGACTAATAAAGCAAGTCTCATTTAAGCCTCACAAAACCTCTTGGGTCAGAACTGTCCCATGTTGCAGGTGAGAACACTAGGGTTCAGAAGGTTATAGTGACAAGACAGAACACTAATAAAAGATCTGGAAGTTGATGGGGAATCCAAGATTGTCTAATTCCAGTCTTAATTCCTGTCATGTGTATTCCTTATATATTTTAAAACAGAACTGGTGGTTCAGACGGTAAAGAATCCGCCTGCCAATGCAGGAGACTCAGGTTCGATCCCTGTGTAGGGAAGATCCCCTAGAGAAGGGAATGGCAACCCACTCCAGTATTCTTACCTGGGAAATCCCATGGATAGAGAAGCCTGCAGTGGGCTTCAGTCCACGGAATCATAAAGAGTCGAACACAATTAAGTGACTAACACACTCAACAATATTACAAAGTTAAGTGAGTCTCAGCTTATTCATTTATTAGGTCTTCCTAACTCTCTCAGTTCTACCTCAGTCTTACCACCGATCTAAATTGAAAAACTCATGAATCATCACAGGCAAGGACTGAATCACCTTGCCTGGGCACAGCCACACAATGTCACAAGGAGAAACTATACAATAGCTTCATTTCTAGATAAAATGTATCTGATCAAATTTTAAAACGATCAAGCAAAATACATGCTTATGCTAAAACAGTAATATAATTAGTAGAGAAACTGCTATATAATTTTATACCTTATTATTATCATTTAAATCATACCTGGGTGATTATTTTTTCCATTTCAGATGAATTCATATCGGGGAGTGTGACTTTAAGGAATTCAACAATATTTTCAAAGTTTTCACATTCCATTATGAGTGTCTCTTGGTTGCTCAGCAGGCTTAGGGCAACCTTAAATATAACTTCAGTTCCCTGAAGAAAAATAATATCTGAAAAAAAAAGATATATAATTTTCATGATCAAAATTAAGCCTCTACTATTGTAAAAAGTGACCTCTGTGTGTTAATGGGTTTTTTTGAGTGGCTGTGTGTGTGTGTGTGTGTGTGTGTGTGTATAGTGGTTGTTTTAATTACTGCAACAGAACCACAGAATATTTATGCAAAATAAAACTGGTCAAATTAGCCTAGATTTGAAATAAATAATAATATGACCAAAACAAATAAAGTTGTTTAACTATTCTTCTTACTTATTTAAGAACCTCAGATAAGGTCAGGGTAAAAAGAAAAAGATAAATTATGTATTTGTTTGTCCACGTATTTATAATTTTTAGTTGCAAATTTAATGGAGACTGATATTTAGATTTTCTTCATGAGCAGAATACAAAAGCAAATCAACATAATCAATAGTTTAGGATTATTTAAACTCTCATTACCATAATAAAAAACTACAAGAACCAGTTAATATGTAATTAAACCTGTACTAGAGAAAAAAACTAAAGAAAGGAAAAACTTTAAAAGAAAAATCAAAATCAGTGTATAACCTAAATCAGAAGAGAAAAAGAAAGGCTACCCTAACTCTGAAAGTGAAAGTGAAGGTGCTCTGTCTTGTCCAACTCTTTGCAACCCCATGGACCTTAGCCTACCAGGCTCCTCTGTCCTTGGGATTCTCCAGGCAAGAGTACTGGAGTGGGTTGCCATGTCCTTCTCTACAGGATCTGCCTGACGCAGGGATCGAACCCAAGTATCCTGCAATGCAGGCAAAAGCTTTACGTCTGAGCCACCAGAGCCTCGCCCTAACTCTGAATTTTGCTCCAAACAAATGTAAACACACAATAGTTTTGAAAAGTACTAAATAGTTTTGTATGAGCGTTCCTCTCAATCCATGCCATTCTGTAGTCAGCAATAAACAAGAGGGGGTTGTTAAAAATGAGGGAACCATGAAACAGTCACTTCAAACATGGTCATTCTTCTTGCTCACACATCTTTCCCTTTGCTGACAGTCTCTGTTCTTCGCTCAGTTCTAAGAATGAAGTGGCCATGTCACTGGCCATGTCAGCTCATGTAGAGCTGACAGCATCATTCATATTCTCTTAGCAAAAAACAGATGACTGGGGAGATATGTTTCCTGAATTCAAGCTTCCTAGGTTAAGTCAGAGAGAGATACCCTAAATATCATTTTAGATTTGATAAGCTATTTCCTGATAAGAAAATATATAAATTAAAAGATTTATAGAGTCCTATAAATTATAAATCCTATAAATATAGAGTCCTATAAATAGGAACCCAAGCTCCAAAGAAGACTTCCCTGGAGAAAAAGCAATCGTGTACACTTAATAAAAAAATGGAAATTTGCTAAATATTTGATTCTGGGCATCCTTGTTTTACTCTTTTGTTGCACTCTGTCTATAAATTGCATTAGCGCTAATGCAGTGTCTAATTTGTAAAACCACAGCCCCCAGTAAGAATGACACGGTATACTGTAATCTGGTGTTATGTATACATATTACATGTATTACTATATCTTCAGGCTTCCCTGTGGCTCAGACGGTAAAGAATCTGGCCACAGTGCAGGAGACATGGGTTCAACCCCTGGGTTGGGAAGATCCCCTGGAGGAGGATATATCTTCAAATTTGAAGTTTCTCCAAATAACATTTTTTTCCCTATAACTGACATATTCTCTTTATTCTATTTTAGTTCATTTTTTAAAATCCTGATAATGACCTACAATCAGGCCAATACTTACAATTTGACCAAGAGCTCTAATTTGGCAAAAGCACAGTTATAAACACTGTCTACTTGCACTATGGGTACCAGATAGATGAGTGGAACATAAAAACTGGAAGCCTCTTCTGAGGTCATCAAGCTCTTAACATTAGAATAAACCTCTGGTAAAGAGTATTTTTTTAAAAAGCTGGTTTGCTTTTTAAATAACAGATTTAGACAAACCTAACTAAGGAGGCATTATAGATTTAAAAGCCTCATAAGGTAACATAAGCTGTGTTATACTCTCTTTTCACTACACTGTGGAGCAAAGTGGCAACTCAACAACTTGCCCTGGGTCCAACCAGCTGTGCACCCAGTGTTGGAGATGGGCACCACCCCTGTACTGGCATGATAGGAGGGCGCTTAAAGCAATAAAACAGGAATTCCAATTACCTTGTTAACAATAAAAAGTCACATTAACAAGTGCCATTAGAAACAACACTGAAAGACGTGCTTCCACTAACCCAGTCAGAGAACATGTTTCTCTGTGTTTTGAATCCAGGTTGAAGAGGACAATGGGGAAGGAAAAACAAAAGCAGTAGGAAAGATGTGTATAAAAATCTGAAAAAATTATACAGTAGAAATCCTTAGTTCATATTTTTTAAAAATTATACTGTGATTTTTTAGGTATAAATGAAAATAAGAATTCCATTACAGTTTACTCAAATACAGGAGCTCAACTCTTCTTTCCCTTTGCATTTCAATTTAAGACCAATATGGTTTCAAATTAATCTCAGAATGGAGCCAGGCATATTTATTAAATTCCATTAGCAATTTGTGATTCTGTGTGATGCTAGATAAAACAACTGGAGCACCTTATGGCTAGAAGCATACCCCTTGGAATAAATAACACTGTTCCAATTGATCATCGGCATCTCTTACCAAACACTCTGGCTACAAATCCTAATGGAAATTGAGAGGCAAACAATGTGAGGAACCAGGGGGCAGCATAAAGACTGGGGCTGATTTCATTTTCTTCAAGATGATTGTAGAGATCTCTGTGATAATCATGAAGGAGCCTGGACAGCTGGTACATTTGAATCTAAAGTTAATTTGGAGAAGGAAAATAAAATATTATGCATTTATCTGAGTACACATAAAATACTGTTTAATTTCATTACTCTAATATTTAATAACTAATTCATGTATATTAGAGAAACAAAAGCAGTATTGTTTTTTTATTACGTTAAAGTTGACAGATCCAAGTTCATTTAACTGAGATCATAAAGCAAGTCACTGTAAGTCCATCTATGACTAGAGAGCACATTTCTCTATCACGTGTGTTTTGGTATTGCCATGTATACATGGAAATGGTAATTATTCCTCCTGTAGGAAAGTATGGCTTTTGCAATTTAATCAGAACTGTCCTGGCTCAGGACTCTCATGGAAGATCCATTCTAATTTCAGACCAGTTCCAGAAAAGCTTCCATTTAAAAGAATCTACCACATTCTAGTTCAGAGGCAAGACCTTGTCTCTCCTTGCTGGGTCCAGCATTGAATTTATGACAGAACCCACCAGGCAATCTGCACTGCTAGGATACTGTCAGGCTTAGAAGGTTAAGGAGCCAGAAACCTGAGCTGTGATTTCTAAGATATTCCAGCAGCATATTTTCTCTTGACAAAGGAGATTAAAGCAAAAAGTGCAGTCCGAATGTTTATAGTACTGAAAGAAATTATTTTACTTGGCTACTGAGCTGATTACTCATATTTAAAAAAATTATAAATACAGCTTATAGTAACTTTTAAAGTCTTACATCTGGGTAGTTAAAAGTACAGCAGTAGCAAATAATAAACAAATCTATGATTTGTGCTTTAATTTAAATTTTTATCTACACAGTAACAGATTGAGTCGTGAGTCCTTAATCAGTTATATCAGCTTAACTTTTAAATACATTCAACATTTTCTTATATCTAGCAGATATCTAGCTGTCATCAAAATGTCATTCTTAAGTAGTATAAAAATGGCTTAAAATAACCAACTATATTATAAATTCAACTGTTTTTAAGAGCACAAAACTAAAAATCAAAGTACTCTACATAAATATAGCTGATGTTTGATCTCTATCTGTGGAAACTAAGGTTCCACACAAGCTGTAAAAGGAAAGAAGTAAAGAGCCACTAGAAGTCATAAATATAAAATAAGTTTAGCAGCAGTCAAGCAAAGAGGTTTAAAAAATGAGATTATAATCTCATTAAGTCATGTTGAAAAAATATCATATATTTATTTCCATTAGGCCACTTACAGTTTAGAAACTAGACTTACTGGCTCTAAGTATTGGTGTTGTTGGTAGTACAAAAATCAAAAACATCTAATTAGCAGAATAAAAAGAAAGCCTATCATCAAAAACATTCTGTCCTTGTTCATCCAATATCTTAACACAGAAGCAATATATTTTTTTTTTAGTAGAACCTTATTTTTTCCCTACATTCTAAACTGGGGATTAAGAATATTTCTTCCATCAAGGTATATTTACATTAAATTTCTTTTGACAAATAAAATATAATTCAGTCTTCCTTCCAAAGAAACTTTCATAACAACATGCCATTTGCTAATAACACATAATTTTTCAACTCTATCTTAGAGAAAACATGAAAATCTTCCAATGGAAGAGACAGAACTGGAGGAAGGGAGATGCAGAGACTGGGGGAGAAAAAGCAGAGACCAAAGACTTCAGATAAAAAGATGCTTTACACTTAGCACAGAAAACAGAAGACACAAATATCATGGGCTGTCCATAGTTAAAAGAGCCCCCAATCTCCTCATTTTACAGAAAAGGTGAGTGCCTGCTGGAGAGAAGGAAAGATATACCCATTTGAATGCACAATTCCAAAGAATAGCAAGGAGAGATAAGAAAGCCTTCCTCAGTGATCAATAAAAAGAAATAGAAGAAACCCAATACAGAGAAAGAACAGGGAAAGACCAGATATCTCAAGAAAATTAGAGATACCAAGGGAACATTTCATGCAAAGATGGGCTCATTAAAGGACAGAAATGATATGGACCTAACAGAAGCAGAAGATGTTAAGAAGAGGTAACAAGAATACACAGAAGAAATATACAAAAAAGATGTTCATGACCCAGATAATCACGATGTGTGATCACTCACCTACAGCCAGACAACCTGGAATGCAAAGTCAAGTGGGCCTTAGGAAGCATCACTATGAACAAAGCTAGTGAAGGTGATGGAATTCGAGTTAAGCTATTTTAAATCCTAAAAGATGAGGCTGTGAAAGTGCTGGACTCAATATGCCAGCAAATTTGGAAAACTCAGCAGTGGCCACAGGACTGGAAAAGGTCAGTTTTCATTCCAATCCCGAAGAAAGGCAATGCCAAAGAATGCTCAAACTACCACACAATTGCACTCATCTCACACGCTAGTAAAGTAATGCTCAAAATTCTCCAAGCCAGGCTTCAGCAATAAGTGAAACTTGAGCTTCCAGATGTTCAAGCTGGTTATAGAAAAGGCAGAGGAACCACAGATCAAATTGCCACCATTCACTGGATCATTGAAAAAGTAAGAGAGTTCCAGAAAAATATCTATTTATGCTTTACTGACTGTACCAAAGCCTTTGACTGTGTGGATCACAATAAACTGTGGAAAATTCTGAAAGAGATGGGAATACCAGACCACCTGACCTGCCTCTTGAGAAACCTATACACAGGTCAGGAAGCAACAGTTAGAACTGGACATGGACCAACAGACTGGTTCCAAGGAAAAGGAGTATGTCAAAGCTGTATATTGTCACCCTGCTTATTTAACTTATATGCAGAATACATCATGAGAAATGCTGGGCTGGAAGAAGCACAAGCTAGAATAAAGATTGCCAGGAGAAATATCAATAATATCAGATATGCAGATGACACTATACATACGGCAGAAAGTGAAGAGGAACTAAAAAGCCTCTTGATGAAAGTGAAGGAGGAGAGTGAAAAAGTTGGCTTAAAGCTCAACATTCAGGAAACTAAGATCATGGCATCTGGTCCCACCACTTCATGGAAATAGATGGGGAAACAGTGGAAACAGTGTTAGACTTAATTTGGGGGGGCTCCAAAATCACTGCAGATGGTGATTGCAGCCATGAAATTAAAAGACGCTTACTCCTTGGAAGGAAAGTTATTACCAATCTAGATAGCATATTAAGAAGCAAAGACATTACTTTGCCAACAAAGGTCCATCTAGTCAAGGATATGGTTTTTCCAGTAGTCACGTATGAATGTGAGAATTGGACTGTGAAGAAAGCTGAGTACCAAAGAATTGATGCTTTTGAACTGTGGTGCTGGAGAAGACTCTTGAGAGTCCCTTGGACTGCAAGAAGATCCAACCAGTCCATCCTGAAGGAGATAAGTCCTGGGTGTTCATTGGAAGGATTGATGCTGAAGCTGACACTCCAATACTTTGGCCACCTCATGTGAAGAGTCGACTCATTGGAAAAGACCCTGATGCTGGGAGGGATTGGGGGCAGGAGAAGGGGACGATAGAGGATGAGATGGCTGGCTGGCATCACCGACTCAATGGACATGAGTTTGAGTAAACCCCAGGAGTTGGTGATGGACAGGAAGGCCTGGCTTGCTGCGATTCATGGGGTCGCAGAGTCGGACACAACTGAGCGACTGAACTGACCCTGAAATCAGGATTTCTGTACAGCCTTCATAAGAACTCACAGGTGAAACCCAACATTGAGAGCAAAGCCCTATCTCCCTGCCAAAAATTCTATCTTGAAGAAGTATTAATAATAAAAAATGGAGCACTCCCTCTCCACTCATTCGCTCAAGAAAATGCCACTTACTGTAACATTCACAAAGTGAAAATAAAGTCCCGTTTTGCCCAAGGATTGGTAAGACTAAAATACTACATGTAAAAACTGATCACTGGGAACCAGGAAAATGTATAATTTAAAAGCACTTTAATTTGCATTTCTCTGATACACTCCAGTCAGGATGGCTGCTATCCAAAAGTCTGCAAGCAATAAATGCTGGAGAGGGTGTGGAGAAAAGGGAACCCTCTTACACTGTTGGTGGGAATGCAAACTAGTACAGCCGCTATGGAAAACAGTGTGGAGATTTCTTAAAAAACTGGAAATAGAACTGCCATATGACCCAGCAATCCCACTTCTGGGCATACACACCCAGGAAACCAGATCTGAAAGAGACACGTGCACCCCAATGTTCATCGCAGCACTGTTTATCACAGCCAGGACATGGAAGCAACCTAGATGCCCATCGGCAGACGAATGGATAAGGAAGCTGTGGTACATATACACCATGGAATATTACTCAGCCATTAAAAAGAATTCATTTGAATCAGTTCTAATGAGATGGATGAAACTGGAGCCCATTATACAGAGTGAAGTAAGCCAGAAAGATAAAGACCATTACAGTATACTAACACATATATATGGAATTTAGAAAGATGGTAAGGATAACCCTATATGCAAAACAGAAAAAGAGACACAGATGTATAGAACAGACTTTTGGACTCTGTGGGAGAAGGCGAGGGTGGGATGTTTCAAGAGAACAGCATCGAAACATGTATATTATATATAGTGAAACAGATCACCAGCCCAGGTTGGGTGCATGAGACAAGTGCTCGGGACTGGTGCACTGGGAAGACCCAGGGGGATGGGATGGGGAGGGAGGGGGGAGGGGGGATCGGGAGGGGGAATACATGTAAATCCATGGCTGATTCATGTCAGTGTATGACAAAAACCACTACAATATTGTAAAGTAATTAGCCTCCAACTAAAAAAAAAAAAAGCACTTTAAAATATTTTAGTTCTTATCTAAAGTATAATATTATGACAAACTCGGCATCATGTCTACCTCATTTCACGGGAGGACAACACTGACATATTTTTCTCTTTAAAGTATTCCTTTACATTTTTATGTCTGAAAGCTTTAAATTCAAGGTAGTGGTTGTTTAAGATATCATATCTACAGTGAAAATTTGAACTTTTTGTTTGAAAACAGCACACTAAGGAAAGTGAAGTTTAAACTGGAGAGGAGAAATACATAAATAGAATGCTTTAAATGTAACAATGGCAGTGAACACACTACCTAACTGAAAAATCTCAATGTTCTTCTTCAGAACATAAGAAAAGCAGACTGAGAAAACACCATTGGATACTGAACACCTTTTCCTCTATAAAGGCCTGTCTACTATTAAGTTAAGGTGGGGGGGGAGACAGAAAGTTTGAGAAGAAACATGATATAGATATCTACCATTGATGCACTCAACGTAAAAAAATAAGACATTATAAGTTAAGATTTTTAAATAAAAGATCTATGATTGTTTTCAACTGATAAGGTGAGGGAAAGTGAGTAAAGATGATACTTTCTCCAGGCAACCAGTAGATTTAGGAAATAGGGACTTGAGGACACACTCGAATGGCTTATTTATCTGCTTCAGAAACTGTGGGAAAGTTACTCTGCATCTGGGTGTCAGACACTTACAGGTTTAGCAAAATCACAAATCCCACACTGAAACCATGAACTAAAACATGCCTTTTCATTTATCCACGTTCTGAGACAATGGTCCCAAATTTCTTTAAATCTTCACTGTAAATGAGAAGAGGGCTCCGCTAAGATTTTTACCCGCTTCTTGTGAAGAACCACCACTCACCTGCAGCGACATCATGTCAGGTCGGTACTGCTTGCGGAAGCCCAGGTCATACATGAGGAATTTCAACATCTCAAAGGCTTGCTCTTCACTCATGTGCAAAAGCAAGACTCCAGCCACAAAGCTGATCCCCTGACAGTAACCCACTTCTTTGTCCAGTAATGAGTAGGCTTTCAAGAGATTAAAGAGTGACAGCTGCCCTGCCCCAAGCTGTGCTGAAAAGTAAGGATGAGTAGGAAATGTTCTCCCTGCAGAAGAAAAAAGAAAAATATTTTTGAGATGCCCTGATGCTTTGGAGTCCAGAGTGAAACTGCAATTAAGCAATTTCAAGGAATAAATCAACGCTCTTTTCCAATACTGAATACCGCCTGGAGTACTTACCCCTCTAACTGAGTCTTTCTCCCTCTAGAGAGTCCCAAGTCCTGCCTGCCAGACCATCACCCCATCTCCATGTATATGATAGAGGAGCAAAAACTGATGCTATTAAGCACTTATTTTTAGGGGGGAAAAAAGTTCATAAACAAATCAAAAACATATTCAGGAAAGATCTCAGGGAATAGAATATAAAACTTACTCTGATTGTAAATCAAGGCTAATTCTAAATTCACATAGAAACCACCCACTGACTGAAACCAAACCAGTCAATCCTAAAGGAAATCAATCCTGAATATCCACTGAAAGGACTGAAGCTGAAGCTCCAGTACTTTAGTCAGCTGATGCAAAGAGCTGACTCATTGGAAAAGACCCTGATGCTGGGAAAGACTGAAGGCAAAAGAAGGGGAAGATTGGGGATGAGATGATTTGATAGCATCCCCGACTTAATGGACATGAATTTGAGCAAAGTCCGGGAGATACAGGAAGACAAAGGAGTCTGGTGTGCCACAGTCCACGGGGTCACAAAGAGTTGAACACAATTTATCGATGAACTACAACTGAAATCAGAATTCTACAGATGGTATCATATAATTAAAGAAGAAATCTTAGTAGTCCATAGCAGATTCCTTCCTGCTTTTCTTATGTTATGACAGATGAGGGGCTTTTTCGGGTTGTTTTCTTTTATAATCAGTCTATCATTCAGGAAATACCCCAGCTTTTGTTTGTTTGTTTGTTTTTCAAGTATTCTTGACTTTCTGTTTCTTAAACTACCTCCATGCATGAGTCAGGCACGACTGAGTGATTGAACTGAACTGAACTGAACCATGAGCCATGCAGACCTCTTTTCTTTTCAGTATAATCCAAAAGGCCAAGGATAGTGAAGGGCCAAGCTGATTTAAAATAAATTCCCCTCTAAAATTCAGTTCTGTGTACAAAATTACCAAAGAGACACTTCAGCAAGCAAGTTAGTCCTGGATCACTAAAAAGTTGGTACTAACCACTGAAACAAACCCATCTTCACCCCTAAAGCTGTATACAGTGGTTTGGGACTTTCCTTGTGTCATGAAAATGAAGGGAGTGTTAGCTTCCTTGTGCAATGATTACTCATGACGGTTAGAACTTGTAAGTAGGCCAGATTTTTTAATGTTTTCCACCAGATTTGCTTAAAAGTGATTCGCCCACACACACACCCAGGAACTGATAAGATTATTTCTGCAGAGCAAATAAAGGGGAAGACATGAGAAAATAACAAGAACATGCTGAGGAAACACAGATGACTATGAGCAAAGTCAAATAAGCAATTTTTAAAATTATCATCTTACTTTTTCACTTAAAATGCTTGCTACAGAAAACTATAAATATGTTGTCCATCCAAGATATTAATTCTGGTTCCATTTTTTTCTGACCAGGCTTTTTTTTCCCCTGTAACATGATCTCATCATCTCCTTATCTTTTAGGATATCTTGACTAGCTCTAAATTCGACATCTCAATTTCTAGACTCATTATCCATTTCCGGTCACAGAACCACACATCTGCGGGGATTCACAGTGATTGATTGGTTCATTGTCCTCATTTAAGAGAGAGTATTGAAACTCAGAAGCAAAGTAATTTGCCTAAAACAACTGTTCAGTGGTAGCATCAGGACAAAACCCGAAGTATCCAGTTTCTCAGTAAAATTCTCCTTTTCAATTCTACTGGGCTCCAAAAATATTAACTTAATTGGCCTTTTCCCAACAGAAGTTGTTTGTCATCCAACCAAGCAGAGCTCAGTTTTGCCCTGTAATTTTTATATAACCTGAAATGAAGTGACCTCTCAATGTAAAGTAATTCCTTGTTTTCCCATATGGGCTGAAATAACATATCTGGCCACCTTAAATAAATCAACTTTTAGGGATATATATAAGATAATTCAAATGTCAATGTCAATTTAATTCAGTAAGTTACATATTTTTAAATAATAGAATATAACATTAACTTATAGAAAAATTAGAGACAACATAATTTTTTAAATTATTACACCATTTTTATTTTCCATAAGTTATTTGAAACTCAGCTTTTAAAAGGGTTTCTTTATAATGCTGCCACTGGAAAGTCACATAACAGTAGGACAGCTGTTATGAAATAATTGTTATGAAATTATGAAATAATAATTCTTATTTCATCCTCCAAAGATGTATTCATGATTTTCCACGACCTAACCACATACTGTATTGCTTTCTAAAGCCTTATTCAAAAGCTTGTTTTCAGCAATATGTCCAGGAATACGTAGCAGGCTTTGTTAAATTTTCTGGTGCCCCTTTAAACCTGCTCTAGCTTATTTCAAGACCAGTGCTGACTGAAATAATAATTGTCTATCCCAAAGAAAAATCAGTTGCTCAAAAAACAAGAACGGAGAGCACCTGAGAACATGACCTCATAACGATTCAAATACAAGATGACTCTTTCCAGAGTACAAGTCTGAGGACAAAGACTTCACTCCACATGCAGGCGTTTAGGGTGTCTTCAACCAGACATAAGGCCGATATGCCCTCAGGAAAGGACAAAGTCAGCAGCTCTGCAGACCAACAGATCATCTTTATCATCACCAAAACCCAAATTAAAAAAAAAAACTCAACAAAAGGACCTATTGTTTACTTTCATAAATTAGAGTCAATACGGCAGACATACCTAAATCCACGAGGATAGCATGCTGCTGAGCCGTGAGCTGTTTTAAAAGCTCTTTATAGGATATGTCGGGAGGTTGTTGTTTATTAGGCAATCTGTGTCTCAGACGATATTGCAAAGCTAGGAACTGCCAGATTTCTCCCCGTCGACTTTTGGGAACACCTGCAATCAAAGAGATAAGAAAGCAAGGCCTTGAAGACTGGAATGAAGCTGCTAAATCACAACTGATTAACTATAATGCTTCAAATAAGCAGCCATGCAACTACACACAGACAGCCACACATACACGTGTCCTGCCACGCTACAACCACACAGTATGCAAGCATATTTTGACAAGTTTAATCCTCTAGCTGCTGCCTTACTAAAAAAAAAAAAAAAAAACCTTCAAATAATGAGGAAAATAATGGCAATATTAACAAGAACACCAGCCACTACTGATTGAGAACCTAATACAACATGTATTGAGGTCGTGCTTTTGAGCATTACAGTTACAGAAACTGCACCTCAACTATTCACAGGTGCTCAGAAGATAACTTAAAGAGACAGGTAGTTACTACTATCTATACTTTACAGAGGAGAAGGCACTGGCACCCCACTCCAGTACTCTTGCCTGGAAAGTCCCATGGACGGAGGAGCCTGGTAGGCTGCAGTCCATGGGGTCCCTAAGAGTCGGACACGACTTAGCGACTTCACTGTCACTTTTCACTTTCATGCCCTGGAGAAGGAAATGGCAACCCACTCCAGTGTTCTTGCCTGGAGGATCCCAGGGACGGGGGATCCTGGTGGGCTGCCGTCTTTGGAGTCACAGAGAGTCAGACACGACTGAAGCGACTTAGCAGCAGCAGCAACAAATGCTAATATTCATACTCTGATTTCTAAATATCTGTCATTAAAAAGTAACTTTGTAAAAGAGAATTAAATAGCATTTTTACGGTCCACAAAAAAATGAAATAAAAATGGTAAATGCAATACAAAGGGAGTGCTCCAGAACGTCACTCAGCCTTTGAGAAGAAAGGAGCTAGGCTATATAATGCTTCATTCATGTGTAATGAAATACTAACTCCAGTGTGCTTGAAAACCAAAAACAAGCAATTCAAAGTATGTTAAAACTGTTTTTTATGCTAAGGGACATGAAGTAAAGCACTGGGAGGGACATAATTCAATTCTCTGCAGGAAAGTAATTTTATTTCACTGCTTTCAGTCCAAAAAGACTAGATATGGGATCGGTTCCTGAGTCCCAGCTGGGTAGAGGAAGGTTTAATGACACTAATATTTTTGGGATGCAATGTCACAGTCTGCAGAAGCTGAAAGTATTCTTCTCCAAAAACTACACCTCAGGCTCTTGAACATGTATACCTTGAAACTACTATTTTTAGTTCCGTTACCTCCCATTCCCTGCCATATTAAGTATACACTAAGTATTCACATCCTCAAGAAGCTTATTTTCAGACCTCCAGTTTCTTGTTTCTATTGTTACCTTTATGGAATTCCAAGCTCCTCCAGTTGATCGCCTAGTATATCTCTATTTGTCTTTTACGGATGAGCCTGAATGCCATTCTTCTGCAGAAACTCTCCCTAATATCTCTAGGAGTAAGACTCCCTTATCACTATGTGACTCAGACTATAACATTAGCATACTGGATTAGAGGTAGTGTTATACTGTATGTCTGTCTAGTTTCCTCACTTAGACAGTGAACTCCCCGAGAATAATCAGCATATGTTCATCTCTGAATGATGAAATTCAAGAATATATCTTGCTACTGATACATTTGTTGAATGAATGAATGATCTTACATAAGAAGTCATTTTTAGAGGGTAACTTTCATTAGCCCATTAAAAGGGTCACTGTTAAGGAGAGGGCTGTTATGCTAACCATCCAATAACAATTTCAAAAAGGTAATTCACTTCATTTATTTATTTTTGGCTGTGTTGTGTCTTCCCTGCTGCATGCAGGCTTTCTCTAGCTGCAGCAAGAAAGCAGTTGTTTTCTCTTTGTTGCAATGTGTCCACTGCTAATCGTGGCTGCTACTCTTTCTGCAGAGCATTAGCTCTATAGCGTGGGCTCGGTAGTTGTGGTGGGTGGGCTTAGTCGCCCCATACACTGTAAAATCTTCCCAGAGTAGGGGACAGATCCGTGCCCCTGCACAGGCAGGCATTCTTAACCACTGGACCAGCAGAGAAGTCTGGTCATTCACCTTAGTTAAAGATTTATTGAGCATCTAACATATAGCAGAGCATAGAGTATGGCCTTGAAGAAACCTCATCGAGAGATGAATAAATCCATTCTCAGGAAAATTAGTCTCACTCTTTCATTCATTTGTTTAGTAAATAACATGTAAGATGCTGTCTTAGGTGCTAGGAGTGTGGGGGGTGGTGAGAAAACATTTAACAGATAAACACATCGATACAAAATTATAAACTATGATAAGCACAATTAAAGGGAAAAAATCATGAGAAAGAATAACAAAGCAAAACTAATTTATTTTGGGTTTTGGGGGGAGGGCACTGTGAGGAAATGGTATTTAAACTGAGAGCTGAGGGAGAACAGGATTGTCCAGCCGGAGTGTAGGCAGCAATCACTTTGGCAAGAAGAATGTATGGAGGCCCTGAGAGGAGCAGAGAAAGGGGGCACAAAGGAGGAGTGAGAAGATGTGACGGAAAGAAAGGGGAGCTGGGAAATAGGGAGAAGGTAGACAGGACAGAAGAGGGACGGAAGGGAAGCTGGAGCATCTAATCAAGAAAGAGCCGGTGAGATTTCCCTGGTGGTCCAGTGTTAAGAATCCACCTGCCAATACAGGAGACCTGGGTTGGATCCCGGGTCCAGGAAGATCCCACCTGCTGAGAGGTAACTCAGTCCATGTGCCACAACTACTGATGCCCAGTACCCTAGAGCCCACGCCCTGCAACGGGAAGCCAGAACAATAAGCCCACGCACTACAGTTAGAGAATAGTCCCTGCTCACCACAACTAGAGAAAGCCTGTGCGCAGCAATGAAGACCCAGAGCAACCAAAAATAAATAAATAAAAATTATTTTTTAAAAAGACTAGGGGTTAATGTGAAAAGCAAAAACTTAAAGCTTTTTAAAAATATAGAATATATTTATTTAAAAAAAAAAGAAAGAAAGAAATGGCCTGTGCCATACTGGGATGCAGATTAGTTAGCATCTTCGGAGCACAGGCTACAATGTAAGGAAAGGTAGAAAATGAGATGAGAAATGAAAGAAGGAGAGATCAAGGAAAGCTTTGGGCACAGTGCTAAGAAGTTTCAACTCTGTTTTACACATTTGATTAGCCACTATTTTGTCTCCCAAGCAATGCATTCAGTGGAAATCTTTGGGATTTCCATATCTTCAAGGAAAAAGAACAAGTACCAGGTTTGTAAACACAGCATCTTACAAAATTAATCTTAATTTTAACTTAATTATGCAACAGTTTCACATTATCATAGGCTTTTAAGATTCATGATCAAGTTACACTGGGATCTTTATTTTATACCCAGCAGGTCATAGAGATTCTCATTTTAATACATTGAATCTGAGTCACAGAAACTGCAAGTAAGCAATTTACAAGTTAATTTTAAATTTAAGATGTTTAAATGTCATTTTATATGACAAAGCTACAGTGTAATATAAGGCTGAATAAAAGCAATGTTTCAAAAATAAATAAAAGAAAAAATAGATGGTAGGACAACTGATTGCTAGCTAATAATATAGATTTGTATAAACACATACATGTAGGTGAACATATATATATAAACAAATACTTCTGAGCAAATAATGGGAACGAGTCAAGTTTATAAGTTCGAGGTATTTTTATGGATATGATCAAAGCTTTGTACTAATGTATATGCTCTTTCCTCAGTAAATGATAACTCTTGAGTTGAAAACAGCTGACTGAAGAGGCAGGAAACTGTAGAAAATGTGCCTGCTATCTCCTCAGGGATAGGACTGCCATTAGCACCACGTTCCTACCAACATAGTCACTAACTACAGGAGGAAACAAACTACTTTCCTTTTTTTTACAGGCAAAGAGAAAATTGTGCTTAAGCTGGACGAGTCAAAACAATCTCTGAAACTTTTCAAAAAAAGAAAAAAAAAAGATGATTAAGATGATCCAGAATACCTTCTTTAAGAGAAGTATGAATATCTTCCATATCGCATCTGATTTTAGCTCTGCAATTTAACAACTTCTTATCCCAGATTGTTATGACCTCCTTCTGACACGCACCAACTTCTTCATAATCCAGTTTAACTTTTCTGGACTGCAGTTCATCTCTGCTTGCTAAGAAAGAAAGAGTTTGCATTAAGACTAATACGTTTTAAAACTCAGAATTTGTAATGTTTTATTGCCTTTGTAAAACCTCAGCATATGACTTTTAGGAATCAACCACTAACATTTTCTCAAAATGAAAATTTTTGTAAAAAGTGGAAGATACTTGAAAAGTTCTCAAATTTTGAGTCATTTCCTATATTAAAAAAAAAGAAAAATGAATAAATTCTAAGGAGGTTTTACTCTATATCTTATAGATGAAAAGTATCCTAAACATAAAAAACAAGCCATGTTTTCCAGGCTAGAAATTTCAAATATTTGACAAATGTGATAGATAACTACAAAAGTGACAGTCTGCATCACTGTTACTACCATAAAAATGTTAATATTTTATATCCTGTATCTATGAGAAAATAACGCCTCATGCTAACCTTGATTTGAGAAATATCTGATCATGATAGCCTGATACATTTCTATAACTATTTCCGGAGTTACCCACACTGTCTTTAACCACACTGACACTAGGTTACACATTCCTGTGTCCATTTTTAATAATCTTTAAGAGGAAAGTCCATTTTACTGAAGCTAACATTTTCATTTTTCAAAATACAAAATTTTCTCTGACTTGATTGTCTAAAATCTAAGCCCAGAGGTCATTAAAAGAAATGGCTATAAAAGCAACCAGTATCTACACATCAGCTTTATCTTGAAGAATTGATGCCAAAAGGGGAGAAGGGTGAAAAAACACGGAAGCATATTTCTTCTCTCTCATTAGGACCACATGGAACAGAAGCTCTAAATGTAATCTGTAATCGCTGAAGCTCCAGGGCTCAGCCATCTTACCTCCTGCAACACAAATCTCTGTCAGGCATCCAAAGTCCTCGACAGCACGAAAACAATAGCAGAATCAGTATTACTCTTTACTCAGTGTTCGAAGCCATTTCAAAAGAATTAAACCATCTTATAATAGACTACTATTCTGGCAGGGCAGTAAAAATTTCTACTTAGAAGTCCACACATAATCAAAAGATAAATCAAACTACCAAAAATTCCTCCTAGATACCACTAGATGGCTTTCTAGCATAGTTTAATTTTGCTTTTCAATATCTGCCGAAGAACTGATGCTTTCGAACTCTGATGCTGAAGAAGACTCTTGAGATTCCCTTGGACAGCAAGGAGATCAAACCAGTCAATCCTAAAGGAAATCAACCCTGAACATGCATTGGAAGAACTGATGCTAAAGCTGAAGTTCCAATACTTTGGCCACCTGATGCGAACAGCCGACTCAATGGAAAAGACCCTGATGCTGGGAAAGATTTAAGGCAGAAGAAGAGGGCAACAGAGGATAGGATGGTTGGAAGGCATCACCAACTCAAAGGACATGAACTTGGGCAAATTCTGGGAGATAGTGAGGGACAGGGAAGCCTGGGGTACTGCAAAAAGTTGGACATGACTTGGCGACTGAACGGCAACAATTTGTTTTATATTTCTCTAGGATCATCATAGAGAAGCTAATAATTAACATAATCCTACATATAACTTTACTAATTATATTTTTCATAATGGATGAAGCATAATATTTCCTCAGATTTTTTTTTCTCCAACCTTCTCTGGATCATTATTCATTTAAAATAATAATCACCATCATCTACACCCTGAGGATAAAGTGCTAAGTAAGAACAGTTAATATCTGCCTTGGTTAACCAGGCAAGAACAAAGAACTATGAAAAGATGCTTATCCATTGACTAGCATTTGTAATGTGTTAAGCTATTTATTTTTGTCTTTGTTACTTAAGTACAGAAGTAAAAACAGAACTGACAAAGGTTTCTGATCATATATTCTAAATGTCACCTCTTCTCTTATTCTGTCAACTTATACAGCCATATATAATACACAGAATATGCAGTCATTTATAGTAAAATATTCCATTTCTTTATATTAACATATATATTTGAGAAATACTATATGATGTACTGGGAAAAAGCCTAAAAACTGTGGTAAATAAACTGGAATTTTCATACTTGTTTGCCAGTATAACACAGTTTGACCTTAGGTTAATTTTCTTAGTGTCCCCAAGCTAGTCACTAACTCAGCTGCAGAATGAAGAGGGGAGCTAAATAATCTCTAAGACCATTTCCAGTTCAAACAGTCTATGATTCTAAAATTAGCCATTAATATTTAATATAATACTCTACGGCACATACTCCTGTTAATGAAATCCAATTTCATGCTTTAAATGTTTTAAGAAAGTGACAACCATCTTTTTTCAACCTCTTCTTCTGTTTATGAGTTAGTTCAAGATATAATCAACTACAAAAAACATAAATTCAATTCCTTTCAAAATCTATGGAAGCTTGAGTGAGCATATCATTTATCACATCAAACTTTTAAAATCTATGTTAATAACAATTAATTGCTTTTTTAATTTGAAAGAAAAGGTTTGCTTCCTACAGATATTTAAAAGTTTTACAAACTTTTCATTCTGCTAAGAATATAGTGTTAAGCAAAAATGAATTGTGCCCTAGCAAACTAAAAAGTAAAAAATTTAGTTGAACAATAGATATAGTAAGAGGAATCTTTAGATGGTGAATACAGAAATGTGAATACCTGTCTATACTAAAAGCTTTATTGAAAGACAACATAATAAAAGCAAGTCAGAGAAAAACCTAGATATTTTCCAATAATCTTAAAAGTCAAAGGCCCACATAAGCTAAACCATTCATTTTATAAATGTGAAAAAAAGGCCCTTTATATTAAGTGATTTGCTCAAGATAAGGGCTTTAATACCTTTTTCAGATTTTGCTACTGTCTACACACCTCCCTGTGTGTGATTCTATTAGCACTGGGGTAAATGACATCATTATTTCAGAGTCTGGAAAACACATTCTAAAGCATTTAGTATTCATAAATTTAATAGTCAAGCACTATGAAGAGCACAATAGCTGTCATAAACTGTCCAATTAAAATTTTAATGACTTCAATATGATTTTTAAATAGAAAATTTATAAAACAGTAATAAAACATAGCACTTTTGATTTGTTAATAGGTAATTAGTTGAACTGGATACAATATAATTTATTTGAAATAGGAATAGTTCTCATATTATGAATAACATTGGCCTGAAGTTTGAAAATCATATTTGAAGAGAACATACTTTTTCATGTTTAAGTCTTTTTAAAATTACACACCAAGAAGTTAAACTTTCAGTCATATTAAAGCCACTGACTTCATATTATATACATTCTATTACCTTCTATTATTCTATCACCCAAATATACTCAAAAGACATCTGATGTTTTAAATCTGTCAAACAGAAATACACATTTCTTAGGCTAACCTTTCCTCTGTCATAACCACTTCATGAACTAGAAACAATTTTCATCAGTAGCTATTCTAGTAAAAGTGTGTATACAGTTGGAGAATGACTGTGGGGTTGAGTATTAACAAACTACACCTTTAAATTACAGCATCATATCATGCCCTCTAGCCCCGTTTGAATAGCTAACCTTCAAGTTTCTGGTTTTCTTTTTCCATTCGAAGCAACAGGATCTGCTGGTGTATAGCTTTTCTCCACAAACACCTCAGTTCCTCTGACTTGTTTCTCTCGTCACCCTTTTCTGGGTCCTCCTCATCAGACATGAATATCATCAGCGGCTCCTCCTCCATGGTCGGAGCAAGAGGGGACAGAGGCAGCAGCTCACTCCTGTCCAGGCCATCTGCAGAGAAGAAAACAGTGAGAGGCATTCCGGAGTCGTAACCCAGAACACACAAGTTCTCCCTGGACTTGCTCTCTCCTCCTGCGTTCCACCTTTAAATCTGTACACAAAGCTGCCCTCCCGGCAAACTGTCAGTTTCTGGAACTAATGATTTGAGTCATTTCACTAGACTGAATTCCCCTTTCAGATCTCCCTCTCTGGTGAAATGAAAGCATGTATGATGTCACTACTTCTTCTTTCTGCACAAAATGACCTATAAGATAGGTGCTCCAAAATGACCTGGCCTTTCCCCAGGGTTCAACACTTCCGCAATTGACAACATCTACGTATATTCTCTGAGTGTGCAAAACAAAACAAAACAAAAAATAACTGAGTGACTCTGGGCACAGCCTGGCTCAGAACTCGGCTCACTCCTGAAACGAGGGACTCAGTCGTGTCCAACTCTTTGCAACCTGTAGCCCTCCAGGCTCCGCTGTCCATGAGATTTTCCAGGCAAGAATACTGGAGTGGGTTGCTATTCCCTTCTCCAGGGGATCTTCCTGACTCAGGGGCTGAACCCATGTCTCCTGCATTGGCAGGTGGATTCTTATCACTGAGCCACTCAGGAAGCCTCTGCAACACTATTACCCAATTTCCAGAGTTCATTCTCACCCTCCATTCCAGGCCATCTATTGCACTGTTGCCAATTTATTTTCCTATTAACAGGCATGATTCTGTGTCTTAAAACATTTCAGTGGTTGCATATGTCCCAAAGTCCAAACTCCTGGGAATAGCACATTGATCGCTTCAGACTTTGGCCTCAATCTTTCCAACCTCTTGTCTCCATCCTCCATCTTCTGCTCTCATGATGCTGATTTCCTCATGACTTCCTGACTCACAAAGTCCTCTGCAATGCCTCTAGAGCTTTTCTGGTCCCTCTTTTCCAAAGATGCTTCTCCCAGCAACTTTTATTGAAAAACATTCTCTGACCACCCCAGCAGAGTTCATTTTTCCTCCTGAAATGTTATTTTCTTGGGTTGTTTTCTTTATTAATTGACCTCTTCCCTACTCTTATTATTTATTCCCTTAATTATTTTTTAGAAATCTTACTGTATGAATTTAAAACTTAGTACGTTTGAATTTTGCTTTCTTGGTTTTAGAACTGCCCTCTATATACCACTCAATTTTGACACATAGGGTTCCAATCATATTTTCTTCCTTCTAGTTTCTAGGAAAACAGTTTTCAGTTTCTAAACACATGAAATTTTTTAGTTATCCTCCCAATTCTTCCTCTTCTTTTCCTCCTTTCCTTCCTTTCTTCCTTCTGCAGTGTGATCGAGAATATAGTATGAATAATCAAGATTATCTGGAATTCATTTTAAAATCTTTACAGCCAAGTACATAAATAATTTTTACAACTATTCCATGTGTGCTGGAAATGAATAAATTTTCTCTATAGATGACAAGGTTCTATTCAAATATCAGATCAAGCTTGTTCAATTGTGTCTCTCAAATATTATCTATATTTAATTTCTCTAGATTTAAGAGAGGAGTATGTTAAAACCGCCCATGAAAGTTACTTATTCATTTCTCTCTCAAATTCTCTTTAGTATTATTTTAGTGTTCTCATCATTGGTAAATCTTTCTGTTCCTTGTTACACTTACTTTGTCCCCTTGTATATTTTGCTTTAACTTCTTATAGGTCTAATATGGAAAGAGAGCTGCAGGGGCTCTCTGCTGGCTGATGTCTGCCGAGCGTACCTACATCCACTGCCTTATCGTTCTATGTGACTGTGTTTTACGTGTGACTCGTAAAACAATGCTGCTTTTCCAAAAATAAAAAGATCTCCGACTTCTTTTCTATCACTACACTGCATGATGAAGTAGGCCCCCAGACAGGTTTTGGAAATTCCTTCCTTCCTTCCTTCCTTCCTTCCTTCATTCATTCATTCATTCAACAGCATTCACTATGTCTAACAAGTTCTAATGATACCTGACTATCTCGATATCCACTATCTGGGATGTAAGAAAGAGACGTTACTTCTCTACTGTAATCAGTTAATTCTCTGTACAAAAAGCACCGCCGTCCATTCCCAAGTAGTGAGGGGTAAGGGGCTGGCGAACGAACCCTGCTGCATCGCGGAGGCAGATTTGCTCATGGGCGAGGCAACCCTGAGGAAGATGCGCTGCCGCCAGGAAACTCGGCGAGGAGTCACAGGGGTTCCTCCGGTGTTTAGGGACTCATTGCTACAGGTGGACGAGGTCCTTTTTCTCCCCTCTCCATCGCTGTGGAAAGCACAGAAATAGATAACTTGTAAAGGAAACTGTGTGACGTGATCTTTCGTAACAAAACGGTAGCACAAGCCATTCACAAGTTCTACCAGGAGCAAGCACAAGCCACAGGCAACATGGAGCGATGCATCGCGAGGCACACGGATCACCAGGCCCCGACATCCCGGGACGGGTGCATTCAGGCACAGCCCACCTATCAGAAGCTCACCTGTTTCTACTCTTTCCACAGGAGCCAACCACTCCAAGTTCTATCCTGGGCAATAGAAGCGCTTACACAGAGGGGCAAAGGCTGCTTAACTAATGACCTCAACACTTGATAAAAGAATTTTAATTAGTAGTATATTTTAAACATTGTAAATACTTTATTAAAAGATCATAAAGAGCTTTTCTTATAGCTTTTATAGAATGGACTGATAAGATAGCTTCTAGTTGCCTGTAACTGTTACAATCCATCTAGAAAGTGTTAACCACCAATAGTTGGATCATGATAGAAAGTAACCTGAACAAAGACAGGACAGTCAACCTTGGGATTACTGTTAAGTGATATATTAAAGAAAAAAGTGTGGCCAAATCAACTGGATAGGTTGCATTTTAAAATACTAAACAGATTTCTTTAGAGCCGGAATTCTTAGAGACCTTCTTAGGAGAAGGAAATGGCAACCCACTCCAGTACTCTTGCCTAGAAAATTACATGGATGGAGGAGCCTGGCGGGCTGCAGTCCACCGGTAGCAAAGTCAGACACGACTGAGCAACTTCACTTCACTTCTTAGAGACCATAATATGCAGGCATGCCCTGTGACTCTCCAAAGGCAAACAGTATACAGAAATTCCCTAACTTGCTTAAATTATTTGACCCTAGAATCACCTTCCTTAACTTTCTTGCAGGGGCGGGGTGAGGCAGGCAGTTGGGGATGTCACATCTTTCTACTTTAATGCTTTGTAATATGAACATACAGTAATGCTGGTCTGCTCTAAGAAGTTCATTTTCTAGAAAAGAGTACTCTGAATTCTGCTGGGGCTATCTGCAGAAAAAGGTCATTTTTTTTAAAAGGTCATTATGACTCATATTTTGAGACCAATTATGTTAGCAGCTGAAACACCATGCAATAACTGTTGCCACTCATGGTGGTGGGAATATTTTGCTTTTTTACATTTTAAAGTCTCCGAGCTTCCTGAAAATGATGAACAATATTTGCATGTGGTGATCCCTGCAAGTGAAAGTGTGAGATTTCTGACGAAACCAAGCAGTGTTAGTAGTTAGGGCAGAAATAAAACTCAGCTAGAAAAGCCATCACCTCACTCACATACTCAGAGGAACAAACTCCCTAAGTCTGAGACAATCAGAATTCAGAAGAGCCAGTCAGCCTTGTCTGTCGTATTTGTATTTACTTTGCATATCCATACTCACAGTTATCAGGTCATTCAGTTGTTCCTAATCTTGATCTATCTCTCTAGATTAGGTAAATTAAGGTTAGGAAAAAGACATACTTTTGAGCTAGCTCACAGACAGCAAGTGGCACGCTGTACCACGATACTTCAGGAGGTAGCTGATGCACATCCCAGTAGAGTCAAGCCCATTTTGTTACGTATCCTGGATAATGTCATAACCATAATATGTGTCCACAATTCACCACTCTGTAATACTGACTGAATATGTCCACCTTTACTTCCCCTTTGGAAAGCCTTAATTCAATATTTTCCTTTTGGGAACTATAATTCATTCTATATATAATAGCTATATCCTAAGAAACACTCTTAATGTACCCTGTATCTTCATTTGTATAACCCTATTTGTATAACGGTTTGGCAATTGTATGCTAAATGCCCAACTCAAGGATGTATTTCTAGCTCCTAGTATAGCAACTGGTAATTAATGGTAAGCACTCAGTAAAAGGGGTTTCCTTGGTGGCTCAGTGGTAAAGACCCAACTGCCAACGCAGACGCAGGTTCAATTTCTGGGGCAGGAAGACTCCCTGGAGAAGGAAATGGCAATCCACTCCTGTATTCTTGCCTGGTAAATTTCATGGACGGAGGAGCCTGGCGTGCTACGGTCCATGAGGTCACAAAGAACTGGACACGACTTAACAACTGAACAAACTCAACAAATATCTGTGGAATACACTGATATTGCTGTTGTTGTTCAGTAGCTCAGCAGTCTCCAACTCTTTGCGACCCCATGGACTGGACTTCACTATCTCCCGGAGTTTAATCAAACTCATGTTCATTGAATCAGTGATGCCATCCAACCATCTCATCTTATGTCGTCCCCTTCTCCTCCTGCCCTCAATCCTTCCCAGCATCAGGGTCTTTTCCAGTGAGTCAGCTCTTCACATCAGGTGGCCAGATTATTGGAAATTGATACTGTAAAACCATAAAAACATGAACTCAGAAGGTTAAGTAAAATGGACAAAAAATATTGGCTTGGCTTGTCAGGAATAAATTCCTTGACAGCTCAGGAATAAATAAAAGATCTACCTTCTTAAAACCTTTTGTTGATAGTCATGATTTTCAAGTTTTTCTGGCAAAAAGTTCTAACAGCTTCATTTCCCAAAAGCACAGACTAAGGTGTCATTGTTAGAAGGTACTAACAATGACAATACATAATAAACAACATAAGGCATCTTTTTTTCCCAGAGAGTAACACATTGACATAAGAGTATCCAATTTATAAGTTAATCCTAGGAAGCTAAGTGACTTATGTAAAAACAACAATTTCAATGCCTCACAGGGTAAGTTTTCAATAAATAGTAGTTTCTTTTAACTCTTAGTATATCTAACAACAAAATTACAATAAACCAAAGCAAAGGGATTCTGAAACTTTTGTATTTTAATGCTGGAATTAAAAAGGTCTTTTCAAATTCGGTGTTAATAACATAACAAGTGTCTGGGTAGTACTAAAAGTACAATTGAGAAGAACCCATGTCATTTTCATTATTGCCTATAAAATATACAATTTTGGGGTAATAGGTTATAAAACTGGTGCATAAGGTACCCTTATATCAGCTCGGTTACAAATTTTTAAGTTTCATAACATCTAAAACTTAAAATTCTGGAATGCAAACAAACTGCCAAAAAGACACATTTTCCTCATTTGTCTGGAATTTAATAAGCCAAAAATTAACCGTCAAAATATAAGATAATGTTATATGAAAAGGAAGAACTTACATAACAGACCATTGACCCTTTATCATGTGCTAGAAAACGACATCCTGATAAAGCAGTTTGGTGGCCGAGATAAGGCAAAAATTGCCGTGCTTCATCTACTAAGAAAAACGTGTATCCAGAAGTCCAGGTCCAGAAAAGGGTTTCAACAGGCAGTGTGTTTGTGCAACTTCTGGCAGTTTACTTTTTGATTCAGACTTAATCAGCAACCTAACCTTCCTAAGGCAGTAATTTTAAGAATCAAAACCATGTGCATCAAAGTTCTTAATCTCCCTATGGTTGATTCTTGTTGATGCATGACAGAAAACCACAAAATTCTGTAAAGCAATTATCCTTCAATTAAAAAATGTAAAACAATTATGAAACTCATAGAAGAAAATATATGAGTAAATCATCAAGATTTTGAGTTAGATTAAAGCTCCTTAAATATGTCACCAAAACCACAGGTGAAAAGAAAATATTTTTTTAAAAAATTTTTTTCTCACTTTGGAAACTTAACTGGGCTGAGGGGGTAAGTTTTTGTTTGAAGTTTTTAATTTTTGTTTGTTTTTTGCTACAATATTATTTTTCACTTCAATTTCTCCTTTAAGTAATCCTAGGCAATGTCCACCTTTGGAGTAAAATTAAAAACAAAACAACATGTGGTATTTTTTTTATAGTAATAATAAAGCTAACACAAATAGACATACCATGTGCCAGGCACTGTTCAAGACATTTTGTAAGTATGAACTCATTTGAACCTCACAGTAACTTTATGGGGTAGATGGTATTACAATTCCTATTTTTAGTGAGAAAACTGAGGCAGAAAGAAGCTAAGCCATTTGCCCACAGTCTCAGGGATATAGTGGGGGAGTCAGGATTCAAACCCAGGCAATCCAAAATCCAGACACTTAGGCTCTGTAGTTTACTATGTCAAGGTAAATACCCTTTGCATTAGTTCAGACAAAGCCCCATTGGTTCATAAAAATAAAGCTGCCAGGACTCCCAGGTTCCCCTGTATTTCTAGGGTAAAAAATCAGTCTGTAATTAGCATTAAGTCTTTAGGTCAGTACTTCTCTTTCCTTTTTTTAAATGGAATAATGTCATTTTACATTATTATAGAGCATTATATTATATTATGTGTTCATTTATGTAAATGTCTCACTTCATTTTCTTTTGAAACCATTGGATTTCAAAATGTAAACACTTTTTTATTTTTAAATAGGAGGATCAAATAGAAACACATTAATATGTATACCAACATATATTGGAGAAGGAAATGGCAACCTACTCCAGTATTCTTGCCTGAGAAATCCCAGACAGAGGATCCCGGCAGGTCCATGGGGTCACAAAAGAGTCGGACACAACTAATCCACTAAACAATAACAACAAAAAGAAAACCATTTAACAGAAATCTGAAAAGGCTTTCTCTTTGTAAATGCCTCAAGAAAGGCTGACATGGAATAACACAGTGTTGCAATTTGAGAGTTTTTCCCACAAGGCCCATAGTATGATTTAATTCATAATTACTTTAGGTGGACTAACAGCTTATGTAAACCCTGGTTTCAACTGGGTACCCATCTATCATCCTATGGAATATCTTCACTAATTAAATAAAACTGATAATGAGCTAATCGAGTGGAAATCAATTAAGCTGAATCAAATGAGATAGATTCATCAATGTGTAAAACAAAAAAAGAACAAGAACAAAGAATTTTATTTCCTAAACTATATACTGAATGAAAAAAAAATTTTTAATTAAGTTCTTTGCATTGGAATTTAAAATATCTCTGGAGAGCTCATTTGCTTACTCACATTCTTATAACTTAATGTTATATAAATTATATCAAGC